TCTTGATATCCCATGAGTAACAAAAGACAGAACAACACTTGTGTTTATTTGTGTTACTAAATGGAAAGCATCCTTAATGATGTTTGTGATCAACTGCTTTCTTAATCTTATACAATGTGCTCTTTGTTTCTTTTACTTCTTGTCTTTTGCCTCTTACTTAGTCTCTTCTGTCATCCGAGATAAAAACGAACTTCGGAAGAGACAAGAACACGTGAAAAGAAACATAATTTTTAGTAAAATGGAAAAAAGGCATGAGATAAAAAGAAAAACATATTGTAGATAAAACTTTAGGAGACACAGTTGATAATGACAAGTATAGTTTTTATATTTGTTACTCATTAATTGTTAAGAAGGACAACACGATATTTTTGTATTGTAATCCTATTCTTTTCAGCTGAAATGATTTATCTTTCTTCTTTTTTTTTCATGTTGGAGAAAAAAAGAAAAAAAGGAGAATATGCAAGAAATTTAGTTGCGTTGACAGTATCCATAAACTATTTATATGTATATCTACTAGGATCACTTTCTGAGTTCATATTATGTATACTATAGATTTTTAGTACTGGCAATTTATATCAGAATACAATCTATATATAATGGATATTGTATAATATAATAATTATATACTTATATATTTGTTTCCAGTGATGTGGACGAATATGGTTTCGAACGACCACACGACTTCGATTATGAAACATACGAAGATTTTATGTCCGAGTACCTTAAGGTACTCGCAAAGATGGCCAAAAAGTGGGCGAAAATTATCGGTGAGGGAAAATCCTTACGAAGCATTACGATCAAGAAATACGTTCGTAAAGGCATTCCAGGAGAGCATAGAGGATTGGTAATATTCATTGCAAAGTCCAATTCATCATATTTTTCATATTTAATACAGAAAAATATTGGATCGTTGTAGGTGTGGCTCGCTGTAAGCGGTGGTGAAGATATGAAGAATGCGTCGCCAGATCTTTATCAAAAGTTACTATTATCTCCTCACAATGCAGAAACCGCTGAGATTATTAAAACTGATCTTCCAAGAACATTTCCAGACAATATATTCTTTAATAATACAGAGAATCAGCAGCATCAATTATATAATGTTTTATTAGCTTTTGCTCATCAGAACAAAACTGTTGGATATTGCCAGGTAACATCTACAGTGCATATTTTCGAATATATGAATAAAATAACAAAATTTTAATAAAAAATTTCATGAATGGTAAGATTTTATGAAAAAGTTTCAAAAGATGTTTATTCTTTCTTATTAAAAAATGCTTTTAATATTTTTTCACACAGGGTTTAAACTACATAGCGGGTTTACTTTTGCTTGTAACAAAAAGCGAAGAAACAGCATTTTGGTTATTAAAAGTGTTGATTGATAAAATTCTGCCAGATTATTATACATGTACTATGGATGGCCTACTCATTGATATCGATGTGCTCGCAGAATTAGTAAGGTAAAAGAAAATTTACTATAGCTTTACTCATCAGCAATATTTATCTACGTACACGTTATTTTTACAGGATAAAAATGCCTGACGTGTATCAGCATGTAACAAACGTAGGGCTGCCTTGGCCAGTAATTACGACTAAATGGTTTGTGTGTTTGTTTGCTGAAGTTTTACCTATAGAGGTATGTCATAATTATCGAAACATTGAATAATTTTTTATATAATAATTATCTAAATATGTATCATCACTTATTTTGCTTATAAAAGTTTCAAATATTTTTAATCCAAAAAATTGAAGGTAATTTTAAATTCACAGACTACTCTACGTATTTGGGATTGCCTTTTTTACGAGGGTACCAAGATTATCTTCCGTGTCGCATTGACACTTATAAAAAGGAATAAATCTAATCTATTAGCTTGTCAAGATTTTACAACGCTAGCTGAGTGTTTTAAAGAAATTACGAAAGATAGTATTGTTTTACGATGTCACGAGTTTATGCAAGTATGTAATTGTACATCACATATAGTTCATACATCAAATAGAGAAGAACATTAGATATTTATGGAGACATTTTTCTGTTTTACAGAGTATTTTTAAAGTACCTGGATCACTGCCTGGAAACACAATAGCAAAACTAAGAACAAAACACATGCAACAACGTATAAAACGAAAACAAGATAAGTTAGAACGATAGTATTAATGACTAATGTTTTTCACATACACCGAAATATTCTAGTCTGTTGTTATTCGTTGTGCATCGTTTGCAAAATGAATGCTCATAATGCTGTATTATATTGTTACTGCATAATTTTATTTTGTACATATAATGTTCATTTAGCAATGTGCGATACATTTACTCAATTATTTTTAATTTATCTTAGTTTATTATTGTACACAATATTATAAATATTTTAGAGTATTAGAATGTGAAGTATTATAATTTATAATGAAAGTTGCATAATTGTGATATTTTGTGGAAATAACAATATGGAAATATTGACAAAATATTTGATGAAAAATAATTGTCCTCATATTTTATTCTAATTAACTCTGAATTTATATGCAGTTTCTATTCATGCATAAACTTTCTTGATCTAGCTGGTGAAGGTATTAAAAAAAATTAATCGTTCTAAAATATACAGTTCCAAAAATATATTATAATAGTAAATAATACGTAAACTTAAATTAAAACTATGTACATCAAAATTT